TTATTATTATTATTATTATTATTATTATTATTATTATTATTATTATTGTTGTTGTTGTTGTTGACATCTTTTGCAAGTCTTAGTTCATTCTGATTTCATTTTTGCAAATTTGGACTATACCCTGGTTATGTGCCCCTCTTTCTATTTTCCAATTTTTATACTTATCATTTTTGTCTTTTAGTTTATCAGAGTTCTTTATGAAACCATGGTGGTTTCTTCTTATATTTCTTATTTTTCTTTTTCAGTGGTATTGTAATGGTCTGTGATTTTATAATCACACTTTTCAAAGTTTTCAAACTTTCTTGAGTTATTTTCCCCTTTAAGATTTTCATCCAGAGAATCCTTTCCAAACTCTATGTTTGTTGAAATCCACTTTTTTAAAGTCTAAGAAGGTAATTTGATTTTGTTGTATTGCTAGTGTCTGCATTATACTGAATTCCAATATGACATGGTTGCTCTCCCCCAAAGTTCCTGCACCTTCTCTATCACCTTATCTCTGTTAACAAGAATTAATTCCAGTATAGCTGACCCTCTAGTTCCCTCCTCTACCTTTTGGTTGACAAAGTTATCAACTTGTTAAGAAACCTATTCAATCTTGTGCTTGATGCAAAGTTTGTTTCCCAGTTGTTGTCAGGGTAGTTAAAGTCCCCCATTACTACTGTGGTGTATTTCCTACATATATTAGTTAACTGATTAGCAAAAAGTTCATCTATTTCTTCTGCTTGATTGGGTGGCCTGTAATATACATCTATAGCAATGTCTTTCTTTCCCCCCCTTTTTTATTAACCTATATGCGTTCAAGGAAGTTTTCATCCTTAGTTTTAAGCATTTCTGTAGAGGTGTGGTGATTTTTGAAAACATATAATGCAACTCCACCTCCTTTTTTGTTAGATCAGTTTCTTTTGAATAGTTTATATCCTTCCAGCAGTACATTACAGTCATGAATTATATCCCATCAAGTTTCTCCAATAAGCTTTCTATAAAATTATTTTTATTAGAATTCTCCTACAAGCTATTTCAATATGTATTTGTATCTGACTTAACATATTTTTCTTTTTAGAATAGTCCCCATATCATTATGTTTTTAAGAGAAGCATCCACACAAAGCCATCCACAACTTTTGCTATTTTCCTACAACCTAATTTGACAGGGATGACTTTCACACTACCGCTTGTAAACTGACTCATTGTTTTTCATGTAAAAGGTAACAAAGATCTTTCGATCCCACCTCAAAGAGAAATAAACGAAGATAAGGAATTGTAGGGGGAAGGAGTAATCTTTTTTGAGTGCTGAGAATCTCAATTATACAAAATATCCTGAAGTGATAGATGGATGGATGGATGGATGGATGACAGATTAATAAATAAGCAAGCATTAGGAAAAGAAAAAGGGAAATAAATTATGATGCAGCAATTTCTCACAATAGTTCTATAAAAACCTGCTTACATGCCATATTTTTGTAAATAAATATTTAGAAATATTTTGAAACAATTTTTGCTACAAAATATCAGGTAATCGTATGCCATTTGTATTCTATTAAGTTGTTTGATTATGATACATATTTTTCTATAATTGGTTCTGGTAAAAACTTGACATATCTACTGTATTTTTACTATATTTTGAATATCTCTTCATCAAGTTACAATTTATCATTAAAACTTAAAACTTAACTTACAATTGCTAACAGTTTATAAAGATATATATATAAATATATCTACTTATATATTTTTCTCCTGCTCCAATCTGTTAACTCTCCTACTGCTCTTAGAAAAATACAGAGATAGGTATCCTCAAACAAATACACACATAGCTGTCCCATTTTTCTTTGAACGATTCAGTGATAGAACAGCCACAACTCCAGGAAGCAGGCATTTACTCTCTCAGTGCAAGAGCTCTCATAATAAAAAAGTGTCATTTTGAATCTGGATCTTCCTATTTTTTTGTTCTACTGTCAGGAACTACAGATATAAAGCTTTTTTCTACACATCAGTTCTTCAAATATTGGAAAATTGCTAACCACATATTTTCTTAGCCTTTTCTTCTTTAGGCTAAAAATATTCCTTTTCTTTAACCATTCCCAGTTTAACTTCACCATCTTCATTGATCTTCAGTGTCCTTCCTGTAATATGGCAATCAAAGCTGAACATGATATTCCTGCTGCAGTCTGATGTGGTGCACAACTATTGTTTCCTGCGTTTCCTATACATTTACTGATGTACTTAAGTATCCTACACCTAACATAAATGCATATAGTTTTCATAGTTATATACCTATCTTTTAAAATCATATACCACACTATATGAATATACTTTGGATATCCTTGATCTACTAATCTGGCAAAAAAGAAAAGCAACTTTGTAAAATAATATTCTTTAATTATAGAAAATAAATTGAGAAAACATAGTTTGCTCCAGGCAGCAGATTTTCTAAAAAGAAAACATCAACTTTGCATTCTTTTAAAAATCTCATACCTTATTCACAGCAATTCAGATCATTAGTTTATCTAGCTCAGTATTATCCACATGTTATTATCTCCCTCAATAGGCTATGATTATCTAAAGTAGCAATCCCCAACCTTTGTGGTTTGGAGGCTTGGCCGGGGGGGGGGGGGGGGGGGTGGAACCAGGTGGGGGGGGGAGAGGGGAACTGGGCTGGAGGGAGAGAGGAACCAGTCTAAGTGAGCAGCAGGCTGGCGCAAATGCACATACAGCTGGACTGCAAGCTGAGTTGCACATGTGCACTGGCCCGCTGCTCACACAATCTGAATGCAAGCGGGCTACGGCCCAATGGGTGGAGGCCCGGGGTTTGGGAACTTCTGCTTTACAGTATGCTTTTCCTCCTACCTTATTAGAAGACACTACAAATGTACTATTCCTTCCTTCCTCCCTTCTTCCTTCCCCTTATCCCTCCCCTCCATCAAAACAATAACAGACTTATAGCTTATTCTTCTCATCCAACAAAAATTGCCTTAGTCACTTCTATTTAAACAAAATAATGAAGAACATTAATGCTTATATATTTCTGATTAAGAGAAAAAGTTAGTATTTGGGAGGATCTCTTCAGGATGCTATATTCTTCGAATGAGTCTTTCTCTCCTAAGACTGGATTTTAAATAAACTTCATTCTGCACATAATGTCCCAAGATTACTAGAATATCCAAATAACTAGATCATTATTTTCACCATCTTCCTAATAATTTGGATTGATGGATCCTTGCCTTGCCTTGCCTTCCCTTTTAATATTTATTGGATGCACAATTAAACTTCTATCTGGCTAGGCTTTATTCAAATAACTCCTGTATAGATAACTCCTTTTAGGAAGTACACACAGTCTTGAACTATGCTTTAACTTTACAGTATTTCCTAGAGCAGCAATATACTGCTAGAGCGCATTCAGTACTTTATGATGCTTATATTGATCTCAGGATTGCCTATGGCCTAATATCAAGACTCACACTATGGGAGAACTCTTCTATAGTATAAATATAAAGCTTCCATAGATATACATCTACTTTAATAACCTACAAATTTTAAGCAAACTCTTGGCTGAAACTGTAATCTAATGCACATGAACCTGAAAAAGCTGAGTTCATTTTATGATACGGAAAGAGTAAAGAAATATTTTCAGCATTAAACATTAGCGTTACCAGTGGTGTGACAGAAATTCCAGTTGCAAGAGATATCAGAAAAAAAGTGCATTTTGGCACTTTGTTAGTTAACTTGTTCATTAATTTGCTTCAAGCAAAATTGAGTAATCCAGCCATTCATCCTCCAAAATTGATCAGTAGAAGTGTTTCACTCCTCTTCTATACTTATAATGCAGTACTTCACTCAGAGGCATAGTTTGGCTTGAGGTGCTGTTTGAGTTTACCAAATTCTGCCAATGGTTATTAATAGATTATTCTAAAACTTAAGTTTACACTTACATTAAGCATCCTGTGATCTATATGGGGCAATTAAAAATGAGCTGAAAGATCTGGCCTAGGGAGATCAACACCCTATCCTATATCAAGGTGTACATTATTATTGTTTTGCTGCACAACTAGTTCTCGAGGACTACCTATAAACTACATTCACAGTTCCACAACTGTGGAATGAGACAGAAACCCCATAAATAACTAGGGGTTGAATAAAATTCTGAAATTGTTTATCCTAAATGATTTGTTATTTTCCTTGTGTTACTCATTAAACAGATAGATTTTATTTTACTAGGCAGTATGTTTTGCAGCCTCCTATAGTAAGGTATTTTCAGTAGTTTCAAAATGACAAATGTAAGGTAACATTATTCTAATCATATAGATTCTTACTTTAAGAATATTTCCAGTTTAAGAACATTTCTACTATACTTCATACATTTTTCTATTTAAAACTTACTATGCAGACTTACCAATGCAGGCATGGACTCGGACTGAAAGTTGGGTTCTCAGAATTATGCTGTGTTTTTTGCCCCTACTGAGAAGAAATAAATAAATGTGATAAGCACAGTAGAGAGTAATTACGGAAAAAATAATTTGTCTAATCTTATATCTAATGAATTTAAAGAATCAGATACTATTTCTTCAATTAAAAATCATACATGTATATATGTATTATGACATCTGCAAGTGTATTTTGAATTTAAACTTTTAATTCTACTAAAAGTTTTAAGCATTTTTTAATCACAGATTTGGTCTCGATTTTTTTGTACTGTGAATTAACCCTGTAGAAAATAAGTGTTATTGTATTACTATTTTCCCAAATCCCATATTAAGCCAAAATTGGAAATATTCAGGTATACATACATATTCAAATATATCTGAACTCATACTTACATATCTGGATTTCAAATAATGGGTACAAAGAAAATAAATTTCTGAACAACAAACCCAACTGTCTAAACTTCTGCCTATGGTTTTGTTTGTGTTTTCATATTTATATTTGCACATCACTTGTTCAGGCCATCACCCAGGACTTTAAAGTTAAGGTTAGGATTATAGTCTTCCCTTCTTCCCTCAATTATGGATGCTTCACAATTTCTTCAGAAAACGTAGGCTTCATAACTTCTCAAAAAATGGCTTAGCCAATTCAAGGTTTCTTACAAAGTTATAGCTGATCCTTACTGTCAGGATGATCAAACAAAATTTGAAGTTTAATAGTTAGGTAGCAGTTCAGAGGTCTTTTGTCTGCAGTTTTCACCTATTATAAACATCCTGTTTTTTTGCCAATGCCTTTTGGTCTCTGAATGTCTTTTATGCCCTTTATCACTTTCATCTGACCTATATCCTCCTCAAGGAAAAAAAAACATAGTTCAATTGCCTTTTGAAAAAGCATCTTTGAGACAACCATGATCTGGATGACTGAGAATCTCCATTGACACCTCCTCCTACAGATTCATCTGTAGAATAGGAAAAGTTTGATATATTTTGGATTCTAAATGTAGGAGGGTCAAATTGCAATACTTGTGTCACTGAGAAGCATATCATACCTGAGGAACAGCAAATAAAATTTATGCATCCTGTCTTCTTTACTAATTGCATTTGTTGTAGCCTCCAAACCTACGCTTAGATTTGTTATCTGCCTAAGTTATTTACAGAATCTTTGGACTTTAACAGAAAAAGCCAAGATCTGGGACTTCAATTTTGTGTGGGAGTTGGCTTTTTAAACAAACCTTGTCCCTCCTCTCCAGCCTGCATCCTAAGAATAGATTTCTGAGGAGGGAGGGAAGGTAACTGGGCATCCCTTCTCTGCCCTTTTGATTCTATAGTCCATAGCGTTAAAAGATTTTACCTAATTTTTAACCAAAATAATATTTTATACAACTTTTGTAATTTTGTTGTTCTAATACAACAGACTTACCCAGTCTTCCATATGATTCTCTTGCTTTCCCTTTCCTATACTAAAATATGTAGGTACAAAATTAAGTATCATATGTTCTTCTTAAACTAAAGATAATTATTTAATTTGAATTAATATATCAATATCAATGACAATAATAGGAACAGTATCAATAATATAATTTTCACTTTAGATATTTAAATATAATTATACACTAATTTTATTTACAGTACAATGAAGATAATATAAAAGCAAAGTGATATAGCCACAATTAAATTTTTAGGAACCAAGAACTGAGTAATAAACAATCATCAAGAATCGTGGTGGCGCAGTGGTTAGAATGCAGTACTACAGGCTATTTCTGCTGATTGCCGGCTACCAGAAGTTTAGCCATTCAAATCTCACTGTTCAAGGTTAACTCATCCTTCCATCCTTCCGAGGTCAATAAAAGGAAGACCCAGATTGTTGGAGGCAATATGCTGCTGTAAACCGCTTAGAGAGGGAACATAGTATGATGCTTATAGTATGATTTGTTTTATCAAAGCATACTAGCGAACAAACCAAAATATCCTTAACAAGGGCAGACTAATTTGTATAATTCTGAGTTATGATGTATCCAATTTATATTTTAACGAAGTTAACCTAAAATAAATAAACAAATTTACCAAATCATCACCTATGTTAATCTGTATTTTTCTTTATATTCAAACACATGGAACTGATAATATACCGTATTTGCCGGCGTATAAGACGACTTTTTTGCCCCGAAAAACATGCCTCCAAGTGGGGGGGTCGTCTTATACGCCGGTATATCCACTGCCGGCTTTCGGAGGCTTGTTGGACGCAGCGAAGGCGCCTCTGGCTTCCTGGATCCCCTGCGTCGCTTCCGCTTCATCCCGCTCGCCTCGCTCCGCCCGAGGCTGCAGCCTTACTGCTCTTCCCACGGCCCCTGGCACTCTGCCCTGCCGCTGCAGCCCCGGGGATTTCTGGAGGGCGTTTCCAGTGGTGGTGGGGGGTCGTCTTATACGCCGGGTCGTCTTATACGCCGGCAAATACGGTACTTTAATTTATCTTATTAAATTTCCCTGATGATAAATGCAATCTATGAAATATTTTCATAGATGTTTCTCTAATTAGGATTGAATTCAAAATCAGTGGTACTCTATGTCAGTTGGATAACTACAATCAGAGGTAAAAATGTTCATATCTGATTCCTATATGCTTTCAACCCATTTGAAAAGTTTGCCTTCTGTTCTAATAGAATGCTTGAGATTCTCTATATCTTCTTGTTAGGTGGTGAATTTTAACTAATTTCAGACTTAGACTTTTTGCTGGTACAGGTAACTCCTTGATTTATGACAATTGGGAACAGAATTTCTGTCAGTGCAATATAAAACAAATAACCACAAACTTCCTGGGGAAGTAGTCAAGCCAGCCACTAGATTGGCTCCATATCACTCAGGGTCCCCAGGTCTGTTGACAGAAGCATGCCTTTAAGGACTTGCCTTTAAGAACTTGTAAAAAAAAAAATCAAAGAGGGAGGTAATCTTATCTCTACAGAGGTAATGAATGTAGCCCCTACAGAGAAGGCCTTCTTGCTCCCAATAAATGGACTTCCTTAGGAGGGGATCTGCAACATTCCTTGCTGCCACTGCTCTGGTGGGTCAGACAATATGACTGGGAAAAGACTGTCCTTCAAATAACTTGGCTCCAAGACATGTAGGACTTTGAAGGAAACAATGAGCACTGTTAGGAATGATAGTCACCTAACAGTTGGGTTGGCAATATACTGTATAAACCAGGATAGTTATTTAATACTGCTGTATCTTTAAGAGAGTGCTGTAATTATGATTGGCTGAGGTTCCTCTGACAGCCATAAGATGGAGCCAGAAACCTGGTTTGTTCTCTTCTTGCATTTCCTTTCTGCAAATCTTAGCCAAATCTTCCCTTCTGCCTTCTGCCTGATCGTCATTCTGCTTGGATTGCTGTGAGTCTTGTAACTATTAGCAAACTCCGTTTACTGAACTTTGTTTATGATACTGGACTTCGTTTTTGGATTATCTCTGGACTGATTGTATTGAATACTACCTGCTTTAACCGTGTATGATTTGGACTGTTCGTTGGACTTTGTTTACTGGAAGTAAAACCTACATTTTACTATTCAGTGTATCTGTATGCTAGTTGTGTGTTATTCCTCACCACTCTCACTACGTTTCCCTGAGTGCACTCATTCTCCTAACGGGGAATACCTCAACACTGGTTATGGGCCCAGAACATACCAGACTCAGATAACTGAGAGTTAATGTGAATACACAGTACCGTATACAGACAGCTGTTTACTGTTTAATTGTGGGTTACTGTCCTGGCAAGGATGGCACAAGACCCGTCAACAAGTCTATCACTGATAACCCGGTTGGATGGAACAAACTATGTTTCCTGGTTTATGAAGTGCAGTCTACTTCTGCGTAGGGAAGGATTATGGGCTGCAGTTCAGGATCCACCGGATGTAAATGCTTGGGATCCAAATAATGAGGATTATGCCAAACAGTTAGCTGACTTTAAATAGAACAACGAACGAGCTCTTTGTATAATTGGACTAACACTGAGTGACCAGCAGCCAATCCATATTCTTGGAGAAGAATCTGCTGCTAGGTGTTGGGAGATTTTGAAGAGGATTTATGTTCGTGACAGTATAGGTACACACATACATCTTACACGTAAACTGTTTAGAGCACGTCTTCTGAAAGGTGGAGATATGTTAGCTCATTTGAACATTATGAAAAGACCTTTTCAAGAGCTACATGAAAAGGAACTGATTTTTTCAGAGCTGCATCAGGTTTACATCATTCTTTCCTCATTGGATGAAAATTATGATGATTACGTATTTTCACTGGAAGTCCTGACCAGAAATGAACTGACATTGATTCACATAACCGGACAATTGTTAGAAGAGGCAAGAAGAAGGCAGGATAGAGACCAACTGAGAGAGAAACAACCACAAGAAGAGGATTTGTTTTCAACTGCCTATACTGTTAGGAAATGTTTTTCTTGTGGCGCTAGGGGACATATAGCTAGATTCTGTAAGAAGGGAAAACGGCAGAATACTGGTAATCACCAGAAGGCTAAGAAGAATATTAATTTAGCTATGTCTAGCAATTCAACTGTAAACCATGATTTGTGGGTAATTGATAGTGGAGCATTGCAGTGCATTACTAGAAATAGAGAGAGGTTTGTAAAGATGTCCACGAGTAAGCAACATGTATCATTGGCAAATGGATGGAAGATGAAAGCATCTGTTGAAGGTACTGCATATTGTTCATGTGTAAATGAGCATTTACCTATGTTATATGTACCGAAACTGAAATTTAATTTGTTATCAGTAAGGGCTTTAGTTAATATTGGTTATGTAGTAATCCATGATGACCAGTTGCAGATGGCTAACTCGGTTTATAACAATGTTAAGCCACATGATGAATATATACATTTACTGCATCGAATTGTCAGAGGGAGTAAAATTAAAACCCTGTAGCAAGTACTTAAACTGTAATGTCTGTAATCAGGAGAAAAGCAAGGTTACTCCAGCAAACAGACTAAATGGGTTTAACACCAAAGAACCTTTAGAGGTTGTGTTTGCTGAA